CCAAATCTCTTTTCTTTCTTTGATTATTATTAGTGCATACTGGTTCAGAGTTACATGTGTTGCTGGATGCTGAATAAGAATGCCTAAATCTTATAAGATGATATTCTAGACCAGTATATTTGCATCTGTCTGGATTAGCCTAACACAACTAAGCTTTCTGGATGAGTCTTTGATTTGGTCCTCCACTGTGACCATGCCTCGCACAGTCATGCACACCTTTAGTCATTTTTCTAATCCTACCTTTCAGACTCCTCCCTTTTTTCACTCTGTCCTCCATTCTTCCCTCTATGTACTCCTGTAAAGCTCTTTATCAGTCCTCCACCGTCAATGCGTCCAACTTATTTTATTATTTTCCTCCATCAGTCTTACATGACCAGATTCCCTCCGTTTGGGTGATCAGCCTCTCTTATCTCCTCATATCCCATGAGCTTTTCATTGCGGTGTAATCACCCATCCCTCTTTTTCCTTAGCCTAAATCTGCAGTGATGCAGTCATCTTTGGTTCAACCTCTTTTACAACTTCACTTATACTTGTGCTGTTCACTCTCCTCCTCTGGTCTAATCCTGTGTATCTTTTACCTCATCTGCTTGCCTCAAATCCTTTGGTATTTTCCACCAGGCTCTACCTCAGGGGTAGGCAACTCCAGGCCTCGAGTGCCGGTGTCCTGCTGGTTTTAGATCGCACCCTGGGTTAACACACCTGAATCAAATGATTAGTTCATTACCAAACCTCTGCGGAACTTCAATTTAGTCATTTAGCCCTTCAGCTGTGATGGATCATGGACACATCTAAAACCTGCAGGACACCGGCACTCGAGGCCTGGAGTTGCCCACCCCTGCTCTACCTGATCTCCCAGCCTCTCTTCCTTTTCAGTCACTCCACTATATCTCTATTAGCCACACCAATAACCATGTACCATGATGGCGCATCCAAGGTCACTCTTCCTCCCCTCTCATCTACCCCTATCTCCTCTGCCATCTCCTTTTTAGGTACCTCTGCTCCTCCCTCATCCCCTTACCACTTCTTTTCCTTTTCCTACCCTCCTCACCATTTGCATCCTATATTTCTTTTCCTCTTCCTTTTGCCCCCCACCCCTCTGTCGTCTTTCCCACCCCGCCACTGCTTCCTCATGAGATTGTGAATCACCTCTCTAGTTGTTTTTGCTACACTGGGAGCGACAGAAATAGGCAAGCAAATTCACTAAAATATACATGGAAGACCCAGACACATTCACAAACGCATGCATCTTTGATATGCTGATTCGCTAGCACTCACTGCATTATTCATTTTTTTACCCGTATTTAGCTATGTGGTGTGGGTACACATGAAATAATATTCGGCTAAAACCTCTGTGCTCGAGACATTATGTTCATGAATACAAAGTGCATCTCGTGTAACTACGAAAATTGATTGATTAAACGGCCTTGGTGTTGTCTGTATTTGCACCGACTCTCTTTGTGGGCCGGCTTCTAACATACGAAGAGAGTTTGCTCCATCCCTGTGCTTCTAATTATGGTTAAAGCCTGCAAAGGCGTGCACATCCACAGATGCAAGAAGAAAGTAATCGAGACAAGGGAGTGCTTTGTTCAAGCCGGTGACACAGAAACGAGTAATTATTAGTACCCGTGAGAATAAGGGGGAGAGGAAAAGAGAGTGATGGAGGGAATAAAGGAGTGGTGGAGCCCTTTTTTTTCTTTTTTTTTCTTTCTTCTCATCGTACTTTCTGTCTTTTCTTGTCATTCTCGCCGCCTCACGTCTTGCTCCTCTGTCAGAGTTACCAAGCCTGGTGGTCTGACACCAGACAAGATTGGGCACAGAGAGCAAGAGCCGGAGGAGTGAGTGAGAGAAAGAAAGATGAAGAGGAACAACAAAGCAATTATCTCCTTCTGGCTGACATCTATCCAGCTCTCCTCACCCCCCCACCCCATGTCACGCCTTTTGTTCGTTCACTCTTTCCTACGTACATTTTTAGCCTTGATTCGTCAGACTGTTTATTGCCTTGTTATCTGTCTCTCTCAATTTTGTCTGCTTTCTTCGGTTTTCCATGATCACCCCACCTCCCCTGTTTTGCTTTCCTTTATCCGGCTTTTCACTTAACTCTTCCTTATTCGACCTGATTTTATTTTTTCCCCCCTCGATGCCTGATTCGGTTGCTTTTTTTTCATTTTGCGACCTTCTCCTTGTCGTCCTCATCGTTGCTCCCCCTTTCTTCACTTGAACCAGCTAAATATTTATAGGAAATTCCCTGTCCATCCTTTGCTACCTGCTTACCCCGTCCTTTTCCTTCATGTGACTCTACAGAATAATATAATGTGACATATGTATTGAGTGCTGACCCTGTTCTCTTCCCCTTCCTTTTGAAGCCTCTGATATAAGCTGACGCATGTATTGACACAGTAGTTTAACACTTAATTAGCTCTTCCCGTGGGGTAAAACTCTTCACTTCATTTTACTCAATCTCCTTTTCGCTTCCCTCCCTGCCCTCTAACCACTCAGCTGTCCGGGTCCTTGTTTGTTCATCTTGCTTTCCTCTTTTTCCATCTTTGAAGCTGCACGCCTCGGCATGCCCTGCTCCCTGCCACATCTCTTATTACATCCTTATCAATCCCAGCCTCAGCATTTGCACATATCTTCTTGCTTTTATGATTTTTTTTTTTTTGTTGTAATATGACAAAGTGAAACCATGTGAAAATTTTGATGGTTTTCTGATTGGACCAGTGGGGAAAATCATTTGCACAGCTCAGTGTATTGTTTGTTTTTCCTGTTTTTGTTGGCTGAACACACTGTACTTTAGATTCTTGTCACTTTTGCTAAGCACATTTAGTTTACACGTAATGAAATGTGCTGTAAAAATAAAATTGACACTGACACATAGTTTGGTGTAGCTTTCGTCAGTGCCCTGGGTGAGCATTTATAAATATATCCATAGCACAATTCAGTGTTTTGTCAAATATTATTCAGATTTGGTGGGTAATTTGCAACAGGAAAAATCTTTAATGCCAACACCTAATTTTCAGGATTTTTTTGTATTAAAGCCCTCTCCTTTTGTGACTCATTAGCCATGTTCTCAGCTCTGTTTCTCAGCACGCTCCTTTCCTGCGGCTTTCAACCTCTCGCTCTGTACTTTTTAACAGTGCGGCCTTTTCTTAGACACAACTTTCATTATTCTCATTATTTCTCAAACTCTGCGTGATTTTTCTCTCCAATGTACTCCTCTTGCTCTCCCTGTGATCGTTACTGTTCCCATTAAGTCTTGTGCCGAACCTGGCGCTTTGAGTGCCCGGCAGAAAGGTCGATCATGTGGTGACTGGGGTGCAATTGTGAAAATTGTCAAAGCCACTCTACGCCTTCCTGCGCACTTTAAAGACTGTTGTTAAACCTAATGAGAAACTTTTGGCTCAGACATATACAAGTGTCATAGAGATGCCTTCTCTGACATACCGTATATAGCAGCGATTCATAACTAATTCCCAACTGCTTGCCAGAGGCTAAAAATAGATGATTTACACGTAAAAAAATCATGAAGCACAGTGAAACAGCAGATATCTTGTATAATTCTTAGTGAATAATAGATTATACTGAGTTGGGCTCAGTGAGACGTGTGCTGAACATGGAATATGTTTCCTGTAAAATGTCTATTTACATGTCAGGTAGATTTTGACTGGTAGAGAGGTCATCGCTTACAATCCCAGCTAATTAAATGCTTCTTTCTGCTTTGTGTTCCTGCATACAGTACATGGAATATGTCAATGTGTTAATTCAGTATCACAGCTGCCATTAAAGTCGACGTGCTTCTGATTAAGACACGACCAAAAAAGCTCCACAAAGATATAGTGTCAGCTGATTGGTTGACGGCCTTAAACTGTCTATGACTGCATGTTCTTTGTGACTTGCAAGTGCTGACGAAAACGCACTTTTGAACAGATGGTGCTCCATCGGTTGCTTTAAAGTGCTGGCTCATTAACATGGACTCGTACTTTCCTGTCCTGTTCTTTGTCCTTCAGGTAGGCCAGTCCCATGTGTGGGCAAAGAAGTCATGGTAATTGCTCACATTTACCGGCAACAAGGAAATCTTTGGCAGTTCTTTTGCTGTGCTTTTCAGAATCTGAGCTTCATGTCACATTGAAGGATCAGTGACCGTGTGGTGCTGTTAAAGTGTAGCAGAGCTCCGGGAAGGAAGCTGGCTTAATGTTGTGAGGGAGCACAGCTCAAAGGAAGCCACATTCATGACATTGTACCTGGTACTCTCACAAATGCCAGCAGAATTACAAGGCATGCTAAAATGGAGGTTGGTGTGGTCTAACATACGACTGACCTTTTAAAGGATACAGTGCAGTCTGCTGTTCTCTTATCTGTATGCCACCATCTTACGATGCACTTATTTCTTGTCATTTCTCAAAAATCCCTCTTTTCCTGTGTTTCCGTCTTTATTTCTAAATGCGCTCAACTTGCCCCTCGTCTCCCCCTCTTCCCATCTTTTGCCCAATTCAGCGAGTGGCTGATGTTTCCTCCTCCCAAATTCAGCAATAGAATCCGAACACAAATCCCAGATAAAAAGCCTGAAATCTCACTGACCTGGTCTCTCCTTTTGTTTCTAAGCCAGACTTGCTTTGGTTGATTCCTTTTTTCCCTGACCTGCTAGCTCGTGTGAAACTTTAGTTGGCACTAGCTCACTGATAGCATGATGGGAAGCCATACTGGAAATGCTCGACAGCGTTGTAGTATGCTGCTTTCCTCCTCCTGTCCTGAGAGACTGAGGGTTGTGCCTCCAGACTTGTCTCCTATTTCAACCTGTTTTCCACACTGACCTGTTAAAATGGCCACTACCCTACTCTGTGACACATACACCCCTCTGTTTTCCTGGTGGTGTGATTTGTTCAGTTTGGCAAAACCTCAGATCGCTTACACTCCTGTGATCCCAGCTGGTCAGTGACTCATTCTTTCATGCTTATCTCTTTTCTTTTGTTTCTCTCACAGCCGAGTTTTTAAGAAAAGCATTTTACTGGTGTCAACCTTTTGCCTTAAAGAGCTATGTTTAGGTGCCCAAAGAAGAAGTCTGTATTTTTATAAAACCACCCTTGAGGAAAATATAACATTAAATATTAAAACACTTAAATTTTGAGTCAAATTTAATCGAGAAACTAATTAACCTGGTATTGTGTTGTTTGATATCTCATAGTTTATGTAGAGAGTATCTTCTCTTAACCTTTGTTACTAGAGATAACCAGCTTGCTCCCCTGATCTCAGATTATTATCCACTGAGAAATTAACACTAGTGATCAACAAAGAACTCGAGATCTCAGTGAGCTCATTTTAGGTATTACAAGTGTGTCGTGGGAGTATAAAGAATCTGCATGTTATTGGTTTTGATGTTGCATTCCTGTTGGACATCTCTTTATCTCCATCCTTTCAACCGCACAACCTTCTTTTCAGCAGAGGAGCACTTTGCTTTCACAAAATTGCCTCGTCTCTATTTCTAAACGTTCCTGCTCCCTTGTCACATTATTCCTGTTTGCTTGTTTTTTGTTTTTTTTCCGCTGTCTTACGTTTCCGTGGGCTCCATTTTCTCCTTTCTCCCTTATTGCATCAGTTCTCCCAACCTCCCCCTTTCTTTCATACCCAGGTGTATATCTGTGTACACGGTCTTTCTATTTCAGTTATGGATTTAAATACCTTCCCTCCCTCTCTCCACCCTCGGTTCCTTTTTTTGTTTTTGTCTTCCTTTTCCCACGTGGGCCTTCTACTCTCTTGTCCTCCTTACTGTCAGTCTGCTTTCACACATCCTGCTTTTATCTCAATCTCACCTCAAGGTGATTTGGGTAGAACCCATCTTAGTCTTCTACAGGTCTCAGTCCACATGTCTAAATTGATCCGCTTTCCCCTTCTAACTGTATCTTTCACTCATAGTATTGCTTTTTAACTCCCCATCCACCCTTTCGCATACAGCTCAGGTTCCTACTATTTTTACTTTGCTCTCAAACTTTCAGATTATAGCTTTTTTTCCCCTCCACAATCATATTTCCATCTCTCTGTTCTCTACAGTCTTTGTCATACGCGTTGCTCTACCCCTTACAATACACTTACAGCTTAATGCCTTCTTTATAATACCTGAGGGAAGTCACATTGAACCCCAGCATTACTGCCAGCTAAAATAAAAACCCCACACAAATAATAGCACAGTGGCAGCCCTTGCTCAGCAAGCCCACAGTGTCTTATCCCATCTTCCTCACTGTTTAAGCCACTGTAGCAATAACCCCACGCAAAATGTCTCATCAGTCTACGCTCATAAATTCAGAAACAGTAAACTTTGAATGTGTACCGCTATAATTCACGAACAGCACCATAGTATTGTACATGTAAGCACACCAAGTAGCTAATAAAGCCGCACTGTTTTATATTGAAAGACATTAGTCTCATCCTTTAGCTTTAGCTTTGTTTAGACTGTTTTCTCTCATAGTTTCTTATGCAAGTACAATATTTTAGAAATGCAAATAAAAAAGATGCGATTTTTCAGGATATTGTTTTTGGTCTTCCTTTGCAATTACTTTATGTAGAACTTATCTCGTATAGCCACAGCTACATTAGAGCTGTGGGGGGAAAAGCTGAATTTTTAAATACTTGCAGATGAGTTTTTTTAGTTTTACCTCCATGTTTTTCCAGATCTGTACCCTGTACTTGTATGCCATGGCGTAAATAAGAGCTTTGAATCCTTTAACCACAAATCAACTTTCTAAGTGGTTATTTATCTCCCTCTTAGACTATGATGATACACTGACATAACTTATGAAAATTTGTGTATTTTGATTAAATACATGTTGCATCACTGTTATCGTGCATTTTTAGATACTGTGGCCTCTCGATGTTTATGTTACGCAGCTCACAGTTCAGAAACATCCATCCCCCTCCTTCAAATCCTTTTCCACGTTATCCACATGTCTTCCCATTCTGCACTCACCCATATGCACTGGCTACTGCCTATTGAGATTAAGTGTCATAGTGATGGAGATAAATTATTAACAGTCTCTCGTCCCTTTCTTCCGCTCCCCGTTCACTTTTCCCTTAAGCTATCCGCACATCAATATGCAAGATGAACAGTTCGACTACTGAAGTGTCATATTGTAATGGATAAATATTTAAAATGATTAGCATGAAAGAAAAGGGTGGGCATGACCCTGCAAAAATACCTTGTGGAGGAGAAGCTGAGAAAGCAATCATTTGGCAAGTGTCTAAGTTTGCCATTAGATAAGCGACAAAAGCTTCTATTATTTGCATTGTGAGTAAAGTTGAACTGACCTGTAAACGAGCGTCTCATCGGCGGTGCAGTTGTACTGTATCTGATACATCCAGACAACGTAAGCTCCAGACAAACGCCCCAAATCCCATCGGACCTGAGCCGATGTCGATGTTACTCCCTGTACTCCAATCATCCTTCCTTCCTCTTCGTCCCCCTCTTCCTCCTCCATGCTTCCTCCATCAGTCCTCTCTCCTTCAGATGCCCTACCGCCGTCACCCTCTTCGTCATCCCCTCCACCTCTTTTCCCATCCTCTGGCTCTCCTCCGCGTCCACCACCATTGTTAATCCCTCCATTTTTGGCCGTGCTAATATCCGACGAGCCCGGATCGGTCCGTAAAATTCCATTGGTCACGTTCCTGTTGTTCTTGGTGTTAACACTGTTGCTCCCAGCGTTTCCACCCCGGTGAGGCAGGGGGATTATTTTGAGATCCACAGTGGCAGTTGCTTCACCTGCTGCGTTTATTGCGATACATGTATATGCCCCGTCATCACGGGCTACTGTTACCAAGATATCCAAGGTCCCGTTGCTAAAGGAGCTGGTCCGCGATGAGTTTGCGATGATGCGATCATCTGGTGAAACCCAGTGGACTACCGGCTCGGGGTCACCAATGGCGCGGCACTTTAACGTGGCTCGCTGGCCCTCCAGAACCCACAGCTTGTGCGTGTGGCGAGTGATGAGAGGTGGTTCACATGTGAACTCCTCCTCAGGAATTGACCAGAAATATCTGCAGGCACAGAAAAGAGACGGTGAGAGAGGTAGAGGGAGATGGGTGGAGCAGATTAATTTTGCTATTCTCCACAAATCCCAAATGATCAATTAACCAGATAGCATCTTGCAATGAGTCACACAAGAATCATATGTGGGTCAGGAGCTTAAAATGTGAAGACCAACAGCTTCCTTCTATCAAAGCCTATCATGTTAACATCTGTCCGCATACATATTCAAACTAAGAGACACCAGGATCCTGTGATGACAAACTCAAAAATGCTGAAAATGTGAATAATAGCAGACTGATGAGGACAGCAACTCCTTTTCCTCATAAATGCTTCATTTTCAGTGTGTGGTTTTGACTACAGAGTTAGACTAGAAATTTAGCACAGAGGAAGTATGAAGTAGAGGTAGTTCAGAGTATCTAATAAGGGGCAAAATATCACGCCAGTGTTCTTAAAACTGGCTGCATGGCCTACCTGTCCTCATGAGTTTGAGCTTAATCTCTGTTCGTGCACACTTGATCTCATTAAGGTAAGAATTAGGTCATTTTAATTCAAAACATTGTTCAGCCTGTAACTTATTACATTGCTGCCCTATGATAGAGGAAACCTTTACTAGTTACAAGAATCAGAATAATCCATTGACCAGCTGATGATTTACCTTCCAGCAAGGTGAGCAGGAGTGGCACACGTCTCCATGTCATCTCCACGGATGAGGCGCCTTAACCATAGCAGCTCACAATTGCAGTGCAGTGGGTTCCCTCCAAAATTTAGGCTTATGACAGCATTGTATGGGGTAGGACTTATTGCACCTGTCTGAGACCTGAATATAATAAAAGAAAAGCAGTCAGTCCATTCACTTAATGATGCCTTGCTGGACTTCGAGGTTATTTAAATGCAATATTCATAATTGTGTTTTCTCTCATTTTGAAACGAGTAGCTGTAGTGAATACAAAAGAGCCTTAAAACTAAAAAATGGAGATAATCAATTTGCATTTGGTTAAATTTTTATAAAGGATTTACTTTGAACATCTCTCTCTAAGAACAAGAAGGACGTCTTTCATGAACTTGTCCTTAGACAGGTTGAAGTCAATTTGGTGCAAAACAAATGTGAACATGGTATCTTCACATTTGAACATACCATGTTCAACCTCTCTGCTATTTGCTCCTGACAGAAATCTGAGCTTTGCATGCATCACTGAGTAAAACTTGTCAGTTATACAGTGTGAACGGCTGGTAGATGAGGCTGTCTTTGCTCACCACAAATTTTTAGCTTTGCTTCTCATTCTGACAAATGGTTTGAAGACCACTACATGTTTTCTGAGACCTCTAATGGGCACCGTTGCACAAGTGTTGCAATTTTTGTTTAACAAATTCTTTTGAAGTTAATTGGACAAAGCTTGATAGACGAGGCTCAGCTGTCTGATTGTGTCACTCTATTTTTTTTCTGCTTTAATGTACCTTATACTGATCTGCTCCCGCAAAGCATTTTACAGTTCACAGCTGTTTTTATAAAAGGGTAAACTGTGACTGTACGTTGATTTACTTGAACATCAAATCCACCTTTGTGTTATCTGAACACATGGATCAGTGGAAGGGAAGCAATTCGTGGAGTTCATTTATTGTGCAAATAAACATAAAATTTGCCTAAATCTGGCTGCAAATCTTGCAAATGTCTACAATTGTAAAATATTTTGTTGTGCCATAACTTTCAAATGTTTCTAAAACCTTAAACTTGATAATTGTTCCCAAGTTTCCATTTTAATACCAAGCTGTTATAAGTAATTTTATATAGCATTTAATGACTGGTGTGATCCGTAGAGGGCATGGGAACATGTGAAACTACAGAATAAACTTGCTGTGTATAGCATGGCTATGTGAGAAGCTCTATTTAGTACAATCAGACTGAACTTTATGTGAAAATATAAAAGATTTAAACACTGGATTGCATAAACTATAGAAGAATACAACTTGTTGTGCAAGCATTCAGGTTTCCCTTTTAAATCTGGATGCATAAAGATGAGTTACAGGGGAAGTTATGATTAAAAAGATCATTTGTCCTCGGATTTTAACTTGTTTTTAAAAGGTGGCCTGAGCTGAAATGTCTATATTACTAATCAAAGCACTGGTCAGTTGTTATGATCTTGCACACTATGGTCTGTCATAGCATGCAACATAGTCCTTAGACAGGCGAGTTAGAAATCGTGTCAGTGCAACACCTCATACGGTTGATGTGACAAAAATGTCAGTCCCACTGAGTTCTAGTTGACCAAAGCTGTGTCACAGCTGGACTTTGATTTCCACATTAGTTGGAGCACAGCTGACAGCTTTACAATGAGTGCGTACTTCTATTTATAACCTTCATATAACTCGCCGTCACTATTTCAAAACTTGAAATATGTTTGAGTCAGCGAAGTGGTAAGAATTTGTGGTGGCACATACATGCTGTTCATATTGATTATTTAAATAGCATAAAAGTAAATGTTGACTAAAGAATTTAAAGAATGCCAGCACACCAGCATTGTCTTTCTTCTTTTTCTGTGCCAGAAAGCACCCTGCTAAAAACACACACACTGGTAGCTCTGTGGTGTCTGCAACAGGATCTTTCTACTAAGCTACTTCTGAGGGAAACATAAAAGTTGAAGCTTAAGAGCTACCTTGCAAAGAGAGGATCAGGAGGCAGGGTTCGGAGCCTGTTGGAGGTCATATCCAGCCTTGCAAGCTTATACAGCTCTCCAAAGACTCCTTCCGCTATGTGATCTATCAGGTTATGGTCCAGGTTTAGTGTGTGCAGACTGGCCATGTTCTGAATGGACTCCCATGGTACCCTGTAGATATAAAAAAGAACAACGGCTAATGTGAGATTTATTGACTTGGTAAACTTTGTAGTGAGATTGATCATGCAGTGTGAAGATGGAGTAACAGCAGCTCTAAAGACAGATCCACCTCTTGAGACCTCTTTATTAAAGGATGTGATTGTAGCACCGATAGATCCACAGTTCATTTGTTGTTCTCTGGGTAATTTCTTCTTACTCTTCAGAGAACAAATATGCAACGATGAATTAATAGTGACAACAATGGCAGACAACAACAACAGATGCTTGTTTTCCTTCTGAATCTTTTGCTCTATCTGGGTTTCCCCAAGTCCCATCTGTGACCCATTGCAGTAGTCATTTAGTATTCCATTAGTGCTGTCATTCCCTGTTTTGGACCAATTAGTGAATCCAAATTAAATGTCTGGAACTAGCAAAATAGGAAAAAATACGAAGCATTTATTTTTTGGCGTCAGTCACACCAGCCCTGCTGATTTTAACCTTTTGTGTCCAGGTTCACCGAACTGAACTTTAGTTCATTTAGTTCATTGGGTGCAAAGAATACTTTTCTTTTTGTAGTTGACTAAATAAACGTATTCAATGATTTTAATCAGTTACAAAAACAATTTGGTAAACATTGATGGTTACAGCAGGTGGCCTGCATTTATCTGTACAATAGTTTGATTAGACAACAGGCCTGAAAGAGGAAAGAAGTGCCAGGCATAGTTAATTAGACCATGTTTATGGTTTAGATTATGGTTTTAGAGGTTGGAGAAAGGCCAAAGAGCTGCTTTAGAGGAGACAAATGAAACATCTTAATCAGAACTGACAGCCCAATGCTGCCTAATTTATCAGTACAGAGGGACACTAGGAAGAGAATAGAGAAAAAAAAAAAGAGAATATCATCATTGTTCTGACTTATCATTTAGACCAGAGGAATGGAAAGTAACGCTGAATCCCTATTGTCCTAAATAGACATGAGAAGAATACTGCACCCTGCACTCAGCTGTATAGAGCAGCTATTACAGTGTACACGGTGGCAGTGGAGTGAGCTCAGTCGAAGTGAAAGAAAATTAGAACCTCATCAAAATTGACTTTACCTTTTCTTTCCCTTCTCCTCGTTGCCTCATATGCCAAGTGTTTTCATTGTGCGTTTGTGTGTAAATTTTGTGTGCAGCATACACTGACAGAGATGGGTCTGTCGGTGTATGCTGGCTCATGAATTAAATTGAGTTTGACACAAAGGATGTCAAACTCAATTTAGTTCATTGGCCACGTTCAGTCCACTGTATGCAGCCTAAGACAAACAACAGTATATGGTTCTTTTCCCCTTTAAGTAGTGTAGCACAAGGTGTTTTCCTAAAACTTACATGGGTTTATGGTTACAAGTTTAAGTTATGTCTTCAAAATGTGCAAAATAAAGTATTCTTGTTAAATACTATCTATTTAAGAATGATCTGCTTACAAGGAGGATGAACATCCTGAAATATTGTAAGAAAAATAAGTGCATTTTCAACGCTTTCTCATAGTTTATTTTTCTTAATTCATTGAGTTTACCGTCATATGAACAATTGAGAGATCAGTGGAAAGGCACAAAACCTTCACACGTACAAGTTTTTGGAGTAATTTATTAAGAAACTCTATCAACAACGGACTTCACTGCCGTTTTTAAACGTTGCAAGTCTGGCTCCAGGCCCCATTTTTGATGATTTCTGCTTAAAGAACAATGTCTGTGGCTTGGATGTGCTGTGCACGTGGGTGATACCCAACAAAAGCAAAAACTCACCTCCTGAGGTTATTGTAAGATAAGTCGAGGTCTTCCAGTGTGAGCAAGAAGTCATCGAAAGCCTGCACGGAGACCTTGATCAGCTGGTTGTTGTTGACAATCAGGTGCTGCAGATTGACCAAACCTGCAAGGTCTCTAGGTCCGAGTATTGTCAAGCGATTACCTGGATAAAACAATAAACGGGTAAAAACACGTTTAAGTAGTGTATTTGATTCAAGTCTTGAACACTGAGAATAAAATAACTGCTCACCATCCAGATGCAGAGAGCGTAGACTCTCCAGGTCAGCAAAGGCCATTGGTCTAATAAGGTGGATGGTGTTCCTTGACAGTGTCAGATCAACCAATCCGGTCATGTTGACAAAATCATTTCCGCCCACTTCTGTTATAAAGTTGTCGGCCAGTCGCAGCTCAACTGTCCGCCGGTCAACATGCGGTGGGACGAACAGGAGGCCTTTGTCGGCACAGAGCGTGCTCAGTGACTCCGAAAGGTTTCGACACACGCAGTGGAAAGGACAGGCCGAGACCACACCCCACGTCTCCCCTGCTCCAATTAGAGAAGGAAGCAGGCAGCATGTGACCAAAGTCAGCCAGTGAAAGACTGGGAAAGGGACAGAGTCCGGGAGGGTTCTCTTTGCAGTCCTGGGACAGGCGCAGTGGATGAGATGGGATGAAGTTGACAGAGATGAAACAAAAAGAGGGGACAGAAGAGAGACGGACAGACTGGGCAGAGGGAAGAGGGAGGGGAAGTCGGAGCCCTCTGCTCTGTCTTCGGGGTGGTGTGTGTGGGGTAGGTGTTTTTGTCTGCGGGGATTGAAGGGTGGGGGGACAGGCATGGTAGAACGCCTGGCTGTTCACAGACCTGGAGAGAAAAAGAGAACAGATCGGGGTAAAAAGATTAGACATAGTTTTTAAACTCATACAGTTGGTCTTATTTCTATGTGTGTGTCTGGTTTTTTGTCTTCCACCTACTCTGACTAGACAGAAGTGAAGCAAGGGCTTGCTTTACACACATCCATACCTGTGCGGGTCAAGGCCTCTTTCTAAACAAGTACCACTTCACACTAGTGCCTACATGGTGCTTTGTAGCATTAAAATATCTGTATTGAAAAATGGTGGCCTCCCTTGCTGTGTGGTTCTTTTTTTTTTTTTTTAATTAGCTTACATGTATATTCTGTCCTGTCTACCTCTTTGCCACTGTAGCTTATTGCCTAGCAACAGCATCCCAAAAGACTGAATACAGCCAGTCCCCATAGTAACAGTTACCTAGAAACATGTGAGAGTGGATTACTGTTATATCATAGGACCCTTTCTTAACACTGTGGGTCAGGGAATTAAATTGGGTCAGCAGCCCATCAGCCACAGCAAAGCTCAAATAAAGCACCATGCAGGTGTTGGTAAGCCTGGCATAGTACTAAACATACCAGGGTCCCATTGTAAGTCTCACACATACAGTATGTATGGCAGTACAGTCGTACTAGAAGCAAGTCTTTCTACTCTGCAGCCTTGTTTTTTTTAAATGTATGGAGAGGATCCATAATTCAGTCACTATTTTAAAAAAAAAAAACCCAGCAAGCTCTGATTTTCTTCTCATCAGGTTACACTTGGGCACACACTGTTACAAATACTTGCAAACATGATAAACATCTCTGGAAAACCCTATCAGAACATATAAACAGATGTCATGCTAATTCTGGTTATTTGTGAATTTGTGAAAAAAGGCACTCAAACATATACACTGTGTCTCTGACATCTGTCAGTGTAACATTATTGGCTCAAATGACTCCCAGTTTGGCTGTTAATTGGCTTTTTGGTTGTAGGGGCGGGTCAGCTGTTGTGTTCGGTGTTAAAAATCTCACTTCTGTTTGTGTTATGGCTTTGAAATGGCATCCCTCTGCCTTTATCTTGCCAGTAAATGCACACATTGTGGCTTAGTGATAAGGTATAGGAGTGAGTCACAGCCACTGATTGCCATGCCTAATAGTTGTTATAGCAACTGTAGCCTAGATGCAGAAAGAGTGACAGGGATGGTTGATAACAGTCAGAGATGCGATGAGGGGAGATGAGATGGTGAGTCACAGACGGACACAAAAACATCACTGAAGAACGATGGGGATATTTTCATATGAAGCAATCTGTAAACTGACAGTGCAGAAACTAGAGTGTGATGATTACACGGTGATGTACAGTATATGCAACCCAATACTTTGAGTAATGACCAGGCATAACTATGCATCACGATGGCTTTACAGGTTGACGCAAATTGCGGCTCAATATCTTCCATTAGATTCTGGCTTTACGCTTTCTGCCTGAAACTAGAGGAGCGTTTGCAATCTAGCTCGGATAGCGAGACGGTGTTGATATAAAAAGGCGAGTTTTGTATTCTCCTCCCTGCTACATGGTTTGTTTGGTCTGCTTCCAAAATGTGAGCTCTATATTAGACCAGGCTACACTGTCTCGTTTTTGAATCATAACTTTGTATTGAGTAGACGAGAAGATGAGAACTCTAGTGCCTGAAATGAATGTACTTCTTTTTTTAATCTTGGGATCTCAAATGTTCTCGGTAACAGCTGAGGGGAAGGAATGGAAAAAGGTGGTATAGATCACGCAAGAACTACCTTTTTGCTTTTTTGAATGGTGCCATTGCTGCTTTAATATCCTGCGTTTCCTGTTGAAGCATGATGCTTGGGCAGCACATTAAACCAATGAGATATTAGTTATCAAGAGCAATGCAGTTTGGGCATAAGCCTGGTTTTCTGCCCATCCCATCAAGCCATTCATTTGTACGTCAATAGACTGCAGAGTTAGAAAACATTGCTTTTTGCTACTTATCTTGAGTGCCTCTTGGTTGTTCTGGGAAGCTGTAATGATTACCAGGAACTCTGTTTTCAACCCAGCCTAAAAATAAAACTCCAAGATGCTCTCCAGCTTAGCAATGATATCAGGGATTGTTATTTCCTTATGTCTAGTGTCATCATTTTCAAAAAAAAAGAAAAGGAAGGATGAAAATGCTTGCAGCAGGAGAGAGTGGGATAGTGGGAGTGTGGGGAAGGGCGACAAAGGCACAGAAGCCTGCAGTGACAGCCAGTCCCTGGGGCAGGTTGATGCTGGAAGTCGACTGCTCCTGCACTCCTGTGGAGCCATGCATACTAAAATGTGACAATACTCTGGCAAAGTGTAATACTGCTTAAAAATGTCTTCTCCGCCATGTTCCCTGAAAAGCCCTAATGTCAGGTAGTGTCTTCATACGGTCAGCGCTAAACCAGCTTTACCCCACGCTTTGCTAACACTTGGTTTGCCTGCGGCATGCTGAATGTCAGTAATGCTCGTGCAGTCCTCTGTTGTGCGTCCTGCATCTGTCTCCACACCATCATTTGACCTTTGTCTGTCTCATTCATTTTTTTCCTCCTACTCTCGCTGCTTAGCTCTTCTCGGTCATCCAATAACTCTCCTGGCCTTACTCTCACTCTGTTTTTAATTTCCAACTTCTGTCTCCTCTTCTCCTTGTGAAAGCCTTCTCCTCGTGTCCTCCCTGCCCTCACTGTCCACTCCCACACCTCTCTCTTACTGTACCGCTCCTCTTCTATCTCTATTTCCAGGGATCGGGCTTTGTTTCCTCATCTTCTATCCTCTTCCTTGTTATCTTTGCCTATCCTGTTTCTGCATCCTTGCTCACCTTCCATCTTCCTGCCTCTGGCTGTTCTGTAAATTACCACATTTTCTTTCTTTATGTCTCATTCCCTCTTTTTCTTTCTCTCCGTCTTGTCTGCCCTTGAGGCAACCCAAGTACGACAATGTTATCAGTCACAGCACTACCTCACCACCTTCTCCGGCAGCACTTCCTCTGTCATTTTGTCTCGTCTCCCTATCACTTGCTGATTCTGCTGCCCTCCATGTCTCCTTGCCAGTGCTGCTCTAACTTTCAGTCACAAACTATCCACACATGCAAACACACACCCTCTGATCCTGCAAACCACACATGATTATATGCTGCACCCTGCCTGTCTCAGAGGCACCCTCCCTCCCTCTCTCCTCGCTATTTCTTTCCTCCCTCCCTTCATTTATCTAACTTTCTCACTCATCTCTTCTCTCCATCTGCTTTATCTCTTGATTTTTTTTTTTTCTTCCCCTCCCAAACTGTCATTTCTTTCTTCTTACTCACTCAGCGTCTCACTCTCTCCTTCATTTGGTGCTCTTCCTCTGTTATGGAGGAGATCTCATTTACAACCAGAGCAGTGCAGTATTGAAGCTTTCTGGCACACAAGTTGGATGTAACTGATCTGCTCAGCTGCTGATCGATCAGAGCCAAAGAGAGAGATAGCACCCTGTCCCATTCATTTACTCTCACTCTTTTTCTTTCACTCTTTTCTTCTTCCATGCTCTCATTTCATCTTTTTATCACTCTTTAACAGTGATAAAGATGCAAGTAGTAAACATGTTCTTAATTTTTTAAATTGTGAGGAGTTTTCTTTAAATTTCATATTTATGCAAAAAATAAGAGTGACACAGCAGTATGCCTGATGCACTATGGCATTTAATAGCTGCTTCCAGCCTAGGATGAGTGTTTCTTCTGATTCATGTGTTCCCTTTAGTGACAGTCAGTGTAGGACATACATGTGACTGTACTTGAGTCTCCTTTGGACCTTAGCCAGTACACCTCTGGTGCAAAAATAATGAAGACCCATTCTTATTTGTGATTCCAAAATCTGCACACAAAATGGTCTCTAGAAAGGTACTCAGATTACATCTTCAGATTACTATAAAAAAAGATCATCTTATACAACTGTGAAACTCAACAAATCCTCTTGTTTGAAATTATACAACTCAGATGTTTGCCACAGCTAATAAATCCCTCAAATCAACTTCCTACATGTCTAATCTTACCTGGTTCTATCCCGCCTATCGGGTAACTGTCACTTGCGTATAATGTAACCTACAGCAATGCCTTAACCTTAACTTTTTCAGTTTTTAACCACTAGTTGAAAATGGCTCTTGCCTACAGTATGATATTTATCTGTTCATCTGTTATACAAATATATAGCTTTTTGATTCCAGTTCTTCCCCCCTCTTATCTTTCCTTGTCTCTTTGGTCTGTGTGTGTGACACTCTTGTAACACTGTATTTTTCCCCTCTGGGAATCAATAAATTCTTATCTAACGCTTTGCACCGATGCCTCAGAAAGCTATAGTAAGGCATGTGTGCGCGTGCAGTAACTGAAATAAGCTAGGTAAGTATCTGCACTTGCTATATACGGTTGTAGACATGAACTTCCACCATGCTTGTCTAGTGTGTGTTCCTGTTTGTGAATTAATGTGACACTTGTCTGCACTTAGGAAGTCTTCTTGTGCTCTTAAGAGTTTGCTGCTGAATTTGCAATAAGCTGGAAACACACTTATGTGTGTCAACACAAACCCACCCACACTTTTTTGCACTCTTGCTCAGGCCCATGTGCACAAAGAACAAGACATCGCAGTATATAGCAATAAGGACAAAAGCCCACTGGGACAAAGCCTACTTGACACTTTTTGGGACAAAAAAAAGCCAAGGAGGTCAGTCGATAAAAGATTAATGATTAAGAAATAAATCACAGAGAAGAGCACAAAAATGCACCGGAAACTAGACAAAGAGGAGAATGAACATGAAGGTACATGAGTATTTGCTAGCTCATCCAAGCTCTTAGGCTTGTGTACCATATCTGTTGTTTGCAGGTGTTTTTGTTTTTTACTCTATTTTGGGAAATCTCTTCTTGCACGACCCTGCGTGAACCCATAGCTGTCCAGAGAGCAGGAAACAGACTGTTGATGAGAGCAAAAAAGGCTGCATAAAGTGAGAACATGAGCTAAAAGCATCTATGGAAGGATC